GTGACAGGGGAAGGCACCGCAGGCCCGCCGTTGGCACCGGGGACAGTCGGTGGCTCGGGAAACACTCCCGCCGTCCTGCCCCAAGCCAGCAGTCCATCCTCCCCTCCCTGGGTGATCCGTGGGGATGGGGACAGCCCCAGCTCAGAGCAGGGAAGGGCTCCAGGGCCAAGGCTGTGGTCCCCAGTGATCACGAGCAGACGTGTGGCACAGTCAAATCGCGCTGTGGGACGATCGTCCCCCATCTTGAGTGCCGCTGAGTTGCACCCTGGGACTGCGCTCCAGGGAGCAGCCAGGCGCTTCACAGCGCTGCAGGACAGACGGACAGCGCCCGTCCCAGCCCAAAGCTGAGGGCTGCCCTCACCTTGTGGAAGGCCGGACGGTGATTCTCCTCATGCTTGTCCCTGCAAAAGAGAAGCAGGAGTTTCACGCTAAAGCCCTCCCTCCACGCTGCAACAAGGACTGTCCTGTCTGCACTCCCTGGGAGACAACGGGGATGTGTCCCCGCAGCGGGCAGGGCGGGCTGCCCTGCCCCACGGCACTGCTCGGACTACTCACACGTAGTTCGGGTGCACAGCGTGGGCCATGTCGGCGCTGATCATGTAGGACTTGGCCACAGCCTCCTCGAAGGCTGTCAGGTTTTGTGGCGATGCTGAGATCCGGCGCAGCACCAGCTCCGTCAGCAATGACTCCGCACCCTGTGCGCTCTCCGACCCTACCTGCCAAGGACCACTGTCAGCATGGACCCCCGGCACCCCAGGGGCTGGCTGAGTGACAGGGGGCTCCCTGGAGCCAGCAGAGCAGCTTCCAACCACACCACTGCTTCCCACCCCCTGCTTGGGCCATGCTCTATGGTGGGGGTGTGTAAGGCCCCACTGGGGCCTGGGATCCATCTCCTGCTAGGCACAGCCTAGGGAGAGAGAAGAACACAGAGCTCCTCCCTGTGCCAGCCACCCCACGGCCCCTCGCTCACCTCCTCGTTGTCGTAGAGCGCAATGAGACGCACGTTGGGCTCCTCAGAGAGGGAGGAGGGCGTCGTGCACGAGTCAATCAAGGCCTGCAGGGTTAGAGGAGGAAGGACACCAGCTCGAGTGCCACCCCAGCCCAGGAAGCTCAGCCCTAAGCCAGTAGGAACTTCACCAGGAGAGCTCAAAGCACCAAGGAAGGGAGCTGTGGGCACACACGTGGCCCAGCAAGAGCAGGAGTCACTTCTGGGAGCTGCTGGGAACCCCACACACCCCCACCCAACCCCAGAACCTCCAAGCCAGACCCGCCCCACAGGAACATGCCTCCCTGCAGAGCCTCGGGCCAGCCCTTGGCCCCGCTAAGCCGAGCCAGGTGCGCGGGGGTCCATGCTGCGGCCTCCAGGCTCCTCTCCTCCTCTTGCTCACCTGCAAGGCGCAGTAGCAGCTGTGCAAGTTGTCCAGGCGTGGGGAGAAGATGAACTCGTTGAAGGCACCACCCAGTGTCTAAAGGCAGAGAGCCAGGAGGGGCAGGGTACAGGCTCCAGGTCACTAAAAAGTACCTGCCACTGGGTCCCTGTTCCAGTCCCCTCGTCTCTGCCCCTCAGGAGCTGCCTCCTCTCATTCCGCTCAGCTCCCAGCCCCGGCACGCCTCAGGCAGAGGAAGCGTGCCAGGTAAAACCTGTGCAGTGCCAGCCCGCAGGCTACGTTCAGGCAGAGGGAGGCTCCTGCCCTTACTCACCGCTGGCTGCGTATCTGCCAGGCATAGTTCCAGCTCCACAATCTGCTCTGGTTTCACCCCCAGCTGGGGGCAGAGCAGGGAAAGCAGGACAGGGCTGTGCCGCTCTGCCTGGGAAGAAAGCAGAGCTGCGGGCAGGGCAGGCAGAGGAAGGCAGGGAAAACTCCCTGTTCCCCCTGACAGAGCCATCCCACACCCTGCTCACGCTGTTGCAGCCCTCCCTCCCACTAACACGTGCCGTGTTCAAGCCTCCACCTCACACAGGGCAGCAGGGCCATTCACAGGGTGCAGCGAGGGGCTCTCTGCCCCCCGTGCAATCCCCCCTCCTTGCCCTACCTCCCCACGGAGACTGATGGCTTTACGGCGCTGCACCCCCTTCTATCAGAAGGCTGCAGACCAGGGTGGGAACAGAGAGGTGGCTGAGCAGATGTGTCATGTACACATCTCTGAGGCAGAGTGGAAGGTTACCAGCAGCCCATGGGGAGCATGGGAAGGGGAACGTGCTGGCAGGTCCCTGAGGACTGGAAATCAAAGGTGACACGTGTGAGGTCCTAGCAAGCACTAGTCCTTGGCACCCGGCTCACCTGGGCCGCAGCATTGCATGGTGTGGACTCCATGAGCACCTCTTTTTCCAGCTCCTCCTGCACAGCAGTGGCCAGAATGGGAACCCTGCGGGGAGATGGTGCCATTAACTCCCAGGGCTTTGCTCACCTCCCCTGCTTGGGTCACACACAGCCTGCCCTTCCTGGGGTGCCTGCCTCGCTCCTCCAGGGAGCAACTGCCACGCCGAACGGAGCAAGGACGCACAGCATTTCAAGCACAGATCTATTGTGCCACCTTAGAACACCCCAGTGTCCTTTCCCAAGCCCCAAGCTTGGAAGCATCTCCTGGGAGGACTCTATGGGGCTAAGAAAAGCTACCACAGACCCCGCCACTGCGATGAGCGTAAAGAGCTGAAGCTGGGCACCGCTCCAGCTGGGTCCCAGCCCTCCCGAGGGCAGGCCAGGGGTCGGGGCTGAGCCAGGCCTTACAGGTGGTGCTCGGTGTTGGGCCCGAAGTTCTCATTGATGCTACGCTGCAGATGGATGGCCAGGTGGGGAATGCGGAGGACGGGTCGCTCCACACGTACCAGGCGCTGCTCCAGGCGCCCCGTGGCCGGGTCCTGAAACACAAGGAGGACTGCTGGGGCCAGACTTGGAGGGCTGAGAGGCTGCAGTAGGTCCCACTCTGGGTGGGAGTCACGGACCCAGAGCCCACCACGCCTGTCCCAAATCCGCCTCACCTTTATGATCACCCTCCCGGCCACGGTGAGGTCACGGTCAAACCAGGTGTTCCAGATGCCCCCTCCGTAGGTCTCCACGCCGACCTGCACCGTGCCCACCTGACCCCGCTTCGAGCGGCGCTTCACCTGGGCGAGAGCAGAGACGTCACTGCCGACACCGCAAAGACCCAGGAACTGGGTAACTGGTGGGGACTGGGCAGAGCACGCCCACAATCTGATCGCGAACCCTGTCACCGCAGGGCGCTGTGAGGTGCTTTGAGGGACAGGGGACGCAGAGGCGATGACGGTGCGTGGAGCAACGCAGGGGGTCAGCGCGGGCCGCCCTGGGCGGCAGATCTGGGGGGTGTAGGTGCTCGGGGCACGGCGGGAGTCAGGGCCGGGTCTGCTGGCGGAGTGGAAGCCGGGGGCACCA